TGGTGCCCTTAAAGGAACCCGTAAAGGAGCCTGGGTGTTCCGAGGCAGACCACCATCGTCGCCTTCAACGCCGCCATTAGTGCATGCGAGAAATGTGGTAGCTGGCGGCTTGCCCTTGGTATGGAAATTAGGCTTTGGGGTTTCAGGGCTTAGGTTTGCTAGAAGGGAGTTCCCGAAAATAGGGAGCCCTAATATAGCCAATATAGCACCCTAAACAGTAGGATCCTTATTATACCTTATTATAAGGACCCCAAAATAAGGTACCCCAAATTGTCGGAAACTCCCAGAAGGTTCCATAGGGGGTACTAGAAGGCTCTGTAATCCAGAGGCCTTCATACTTTGAATAGGGCTTCGGGGTACAGCATATCTTAGAAGCTGCCCCCACCCTGTAATAGTGGTATAATCGGAATATAATAGGGCCCTCATATCATCCTTAGAGCAACCATTACAGGGTGGGGGCAGCTTCTAAAGTATATCATGTTTGCAAGAGGGAGTCTGTAGCAATAGTGATTCAAGCGTGATTTAATTGTTCTGATGTTCATTGAGGCTCTTAACTCTTTGTATTCATCTGTGGGGCGTAGAGCTTAATATAGTCTTGCAGGTCTTAAGCAGGGTCAGCGGGATAAGGGGTTTTCTGAGAAGGTGCTTCGCAAGGGGCATATAATACTTCCCTACAAGACTATCATCCTAGACCCAAATGGACGCCAAATGTCCAACTACACTAGGTCCTCCGGTGTCAAATTCTGACGAGAGTTGGCCTCTTGCCATTGTGGGTGGCTGCTCACAGGGGAAGTCATTTGGTTCATGGCATGCGGTGTTGACCTAGTTCTCCAATACCAAACTTTTAAACTTTTGGGGCTCTTATAGTTTAGTGGTAATCTGAAAGTTTAACCTTTTACTTCTGTGGCTATTGGGGGAGTAAGGTTGAGGGGTCAGGGTTGAAATCGAAATGTAGGATTTCTGAGACCCCAAAGAGACTCAAGGGCTCTCCCTAGGAGATTCCGGACCCTCCTAAGGAGATACCTGGACCCTTATGGGTATAGGGGTTAGGACTGAGCCTTGCCTTTGAGCTGAGACAACACAACAGCAACATAGAGCTCTGAATCGCTAGTAAGAGTATCCCTCCTCAGCGCCTGTAAAAGTCTACTACAGTATTCACTAACATGCATCACAGAAGCATCCGTTCTTGAATGTACATGCAGGGCCCCGGAATTCCCAGAAGCTGTCCACCTCGTGTGCTGGAACCCAGGCAACATGCGCTGCTGCTTCTGAGAGACCTCCGCCACTTTGCCCAATTGATCGTTATTTGCTGAGGGGTTAGGGTTAAGTGTATGGAGCCCCGAATACTTGACAAACGAGTGGCAGTACGAATCCTTGTAGGTCATCGACTATTCTTGCTAACCACCACACCTGACAGCGATAGTCTAGTTCCCTCATGATCCTGACGTTGGCCTGTGAAAGCAGTGCAGCGAGAAGACGCTCATTCTTTACTGGATGCCGGAGAAACCAGCCCCAAACCCCGACATTAATGTAACTAGATGGACCTATTACTGAACCCCTATAACCCACAAACCCTAAGACTACACCTAAACCATACGTAATCCCTGAACCCTAAGTCGTAAAGCGCTGAAGTCTCGTCTGTATTTCGGTTCGATCGGCCCCCCTTTCAGGCCAAACCAACGGAGCCTTTTGGGTCAGCGAGTGAGTTGTATCAGGAGCATCCCAAAGGGCCTAAGTAATAGCATGGTAATTACATACTTTACTGTTTAGGGCTTAGGGTTTACCCAAACATCTACAAAGTTCTTACTATTTTGGTACTTGGACCCTTTGGGCATAGGAACCCTAACAGCACATCTTATCACCTATTTGACGACCCTCAGCTGTAGCTCCCTCTGTTGATCTGCTCTCTCTTGTTCACGGGTAAAGCCAAAGCAGGTCAGCGAAGAACGGGAACTGCAATTGATTGAGGGTCTCGGCACGGTACAAGCAGCAACCTGTAGACGAAACCTGAGCCCCATAAGCCCAGAAACCCTAAACCCTCAACCTAAACCAGCGTTTGGGGTCTTGGTATGTCGGTTTCAAGATTGTAGGACTCGCGCGATCCGGATTTGGGCATAAAGCCCTTGTCAACAGTATTTTTTCGGGTCTGGGAACCGTTTTATCGGCGGTTAGCCTGCTTATTGAAAGCCTACTACATTGAGCAAGTGAATCGTCCCCATCGGCAGTGTGGGATAACTCCTGTAACCAAAGGCCAGCAATCTATCTGCCCTAGCCCTCGCGTTTTTGTTGTTGGTATTCTCTCCCTCCCTCTTCCAATCTTTTTTCTCTCTCCAACGCTCTCTCTCTCTCTCTCTCTCTCCCCCCCCATCCTTCTGTTCGCTGAAGGCTTGCACGATCTCGCCGGCAACACTGTTACGCCACTGGACCAGAATGAGTACAGTAGTCCAGAATGAGTCCTTGAGGGTCCATATACACTACTATTATGGAATTAGCTCCCCAGAGCCGTAATGGGGATGGTTTTCGAGGGCCTACTTCCAAGATAGTAGTGTATGTGGACCCTGTGGGAGTAGTGATACAGTAGCCTCAGCAGGCGGCATGAAGGCAGGCAGGATGAAGTGGTGATTCGAGGCCCTCTCCCCAAGGGTCCAAAGGACCCAATAATTAGGTAATCGGTTTTTGGATAGTAGTTATGTAGGTAAGGATTTTGGAGAGTATGTGATTATTGGGTACTTGGACCGTTGGGGTCTCAGGATTTCAGGGAGAACTCTTTTTTCGGATTCTTCCTGCCCATTAACCATGCAAAGGGAAGAGTCTGTTCCTAGAAAGGTTCCTTGGAGGTTGTTGCATGTGCAGCCACCGAAGATGCGGGCGAAGAATCTGGACGCAGTCGTGTGGAACGAAGAGGGACGGAGCAATGCAGTAATCTTTGGTCTGCGAAAACCAGAGCAAGTTGTTGATTCCAGCCCCTCGCAAAGGAAGCTGTCCAAGGAGATAGGCATGAGTTTGGCAACCCTAAACTCTACCTGTATCCCCAAACCCTGCAAAATAGTAGGTTATGACCCCTTAATTGGAGGATCTGGCCCTTAAAACGGTAGGTTTTTGGAGCCACCGGTATATTCCATCCTGCCTTCGCAAACGAATATGGAGACCTGCGCACCAAGTGCCGCATCGAAACAACGAACTTGAGGGTGCCTTTATGATATACTGATATACCCATTGAAGAAGGGAGCTCATGTAGCCCAAAGTAGAACCGTTGACGGTACCTTTAAAGGCTCTCTTAACGGTACCAAACACCGGAAATCCTTCGTGGAAGCCTCGATAGGAATCCTCAAAGGAACTCTCATGCAGGAATCCTGACAAGAACCTTAAAGGAACCCTAAAAGGAAGCCTTAAAGGAATCCTAAAAGGAACCCTTAAAGGAACCCTAAACCCTGAACAAAGACCCAGGTACACTGCGGCCATGACGGCCTGCAGCGCCAGCATCGCCTGGGCACAGGGTTTGGCACTGCTCAGAGACCTTCACGATCACACCGTTGCAGGCGCCTTTTTTGGGGGGGTTCTAATCTTCCAAACTAGGTATCGAGTCGGGATAACTTCTAATTCCCCTTGTTGTTTATATAGAGCCTTTTAAGAAAAAGCAATGTTGCGGACTGTTGAAATCGACACCTAGTTGTAAGGATTCCTTCAGGAGTTATGGTTTATCTGAGTTATGCAAGGTTTCTAGCCCAAAGGGTCCAAGTATCATCATGGTATATACTTAGACCGCCCAAATGCCCTATAAGTATATACCAGAACGATACTTGGACCCTTTGGGTAGAGGGCTTTATACGGGCTCCAATGGCTAAAAACAGGCTGTTTGGAGACAAGACCTGGGGTCTTCGCTTGTAGGCTTCCTTTCGGGGCTCTGGCTATAGAGCCACAAATGCAAGAAGGGGTTCTAAATGCCATGATGGGATGTAGGGCTCCAGGTTTAGGGTGCGGGCTGCTTGGTTACTTCGACGTTGCCTGTCGCGTTCAATGGTTCTGTTAAACATTCTGCAAGGGTTCCGTATGGACCCTTACAGCGTCCTCGCAGGGTGCAACAGAACTTTGATTAGTTCCTGGCTTGTTTCAGGATTTAGGGTTTAGGATGATATTGTTCGCAGTGTTGATTTTGAGTTAATACTCGGCTTTATGGTTTAGTATTTCAGTCGTAGGTGACGTGACGATTGGGAATTCGAAGGGAATAGCACTATGGTATTGTCGATGCTCGGAATGGTGCTTATGCTGATGCTGCTGTTGCAGTGCAATCTGAGAAATGCAACATGCTGACGGTGCAGCAGAAGGTTTGTCAACGATCGTTGCCGGTGATGATCATGATGGACATTATCATGGCCTGCTGAGAATGACGTTCGTAGGGACGATGTGACGGATGCTGGTGGTCCGTCGTAACGTGGCGCTTGTGCTTCTTATGATGATGGTCATGATTGTGCTGATTACCACGATGAGGGCCAATCGCCGTGCCCCTGCAGCCGGTCATAATCTTATTGTTACCCAAAGGATCCAAAGTACCCATATAGTACAATGTATTAGGAATTACTTTTATGATTTGGGGAAGTATCCCCCATAACAGTACCTAGGTTTCTTTGGGGTACTGATGTTCAGCATCAGGCCAGTTCTGTCGAACCCCATGTCTCTTGAGCTCTTGAGTCAGCGTCGAGCGAATCTTCTGTGTGCCATTAGGCTCTGGCACAGAATTGTGCTTCTTCTGATGAAGTCGTGTCATCATTGCAGTTTCAAGTTTTGACTGCCTCCGCAAGCCCTGTAAACCCTAAACCCTAAACCGGTATAAGTATAACCATAGTATATTTCAGGGTCCCCTTTCCACTATGGGCTATTAGACCCTAAAGATCCCTATTCGGACCCTATTAAGGGTAGATAAAGGTACCCATATGGTCTAATAGCCCATAGTGGTTCCAATTACCCAAGGCCTGAATATTTCGCTTGCTTCACAGTGAGCCATGGGGGCTTTGTCTGCAGCCAGCTGCTGTGTGCAGGAGGCAAGAGGAAAGGTATAAGGGCTTTATAGGCGAAACCCTAAAACCCTAAAACCCTAAACCTTGAACCCCAAAACTCTAAACCCTCAACCCCTAAACCCTGAAGCCTAAAACATTAATTTCCCAACCCTAAGTCACTGGTGTACGCCGCATTTGTTTTCAGGCCTTTGGCTACGACAGATCTTTGGTAGCTTCTGGCAAGGCCTTGCAGTGGAAGACGGCCCTACAACTCTTGTCGGAGATGCCGCAATCAACTCTTCAATGCGGCGCTCTTCACTGCACTGTTGTCATGAGCCGTGGTCGCTTTTGCAGAACATCTTGGTCAAAAGTGTAAAGCTGTGGATTCTTGTAGCCCGAACTACAAAGAATACCGCTTCCACATAGGGTTAAACTCATGCTCGTCAGTGCTCCTTGCAATACCCAAGGAGCGCATGCACCAAGACAAGCCGATGGCACATGTCTCTGACTCTCAGCAATGGAGTTTGCACAATTTCCCCTTTCTTCCCTGCTAAACCCAAACCCCAAAGAATAAGGCTGTGTTGATTGAACCCCAAGTAGTAGGTACCTCGACCCTAAAAGATAATACCTTCCCGCAGCAAGCCCTAAGCTGCTATAGGATCCTAACCACTAAGTGGGTTATCCAAACCAGCCTTGTCCTTATTCATGGTTCCCCCAAACGAATAAACAGACCGGCTAGTAGACCTTCTTAAATACTTCCTACTCAGGGATATAGGTATAGGGCTCTGTCTATTATGTCTAAAAGGACAAGGGTGATCCACACAAAGGTACTACATTCAACTGTCTAGGCAGGTTATAAATGCTCAGTTTGGGATCCCAAGGTCAGTCCCGAAATTACAAGAACACTTGTTAAGCATGCCCAGAGGCCCCAAAGTAGTTCCTTGTTGGGATCACCTTAGGTAGGAGTCTTTATCTGAACCCCAAAAAGGAACTACTTTGGTGCCATTGGGTAATGCAACCACAGACAAGCGGGACCCAGAACGTCCCTCTGCCCGTAATCCGTAAACCTTATGCCACAAGGCCCAAACCCTCCGCCCCACAAAGACTCAGCAAAACCCTTTGAAGAACCCTCGCCGCCGCTCACGCAAGCAATCCTAAGATCTAAAGCTTATCAACTCTAATGGTTGCAAACCCTCACTCAACCCTCTAATTAAGAACCCTAAAGCCTAAACCCTAAACCGCACCCTCACTCAACCTCTAACCAATGTCAACCCTCAGTCAAGCAAGGACTCTGTTTTCCAGCATGCTTTCGAGCCGCATCGCTGCAAGTCTAATTGCCTACAATGCCGCCATCTCTGCCTGCGAGATGCTGGGGCTTCTTTCATCATTGGGGCCTAGGTTTTAGGGGTTAGGGTTTAGGGATTAGGGTTTAGGGGTTAGGGTTTAGGGGTTCAGGGTTTAGGAGTTAGGGGTTAGGGTTTAGTAGTGGCCTGAATTTCTGCAATAGGGTTCCTACAGGGGTTCTATCGGGGGAGGGTCATGGTTCTTTTTTGGTAGTGTGGCCCTGAATGGTTCCTTATTCTGTATCAATATTATCCTTAGCAAAGTGGTTCAGGGTGTATCAGGAATTTTCATTTGGATCTTTGCCATTCTAGGTTTTTACCGTCAGCCTTTCTTCAAGGCTTGTTTTAGCTCGTCTGCAGATGCACAACATAGGAATTTAGGACACGTGGGGTGGGGGTGACAATTCTCCCAAAGGTTGTCTATCTGCTTTTAGCATGAGGAGCATATCTCTACAAGTTTTTCCAAGACCTATATATCATAAAAGCAAATGACTGTGACGGTTCGGCACGTCCGAAACCGTTAGCTCTAAACCCTATACTATAGACTTCCACCGAGGAAGGGCAGACTGTGGGCCACAGCACTGGCGATTTTATCCTTGATGCCCATGTGCCAGATGCATCCAGATGTGAAGCTCGAGTGAAGAGCAGAATTTTCCGCTTTAGGGGGGCCTTCCTCTTTGGGTTTTGTGCAAGGTTGAATATACAACTGCTAGGCTTAACGAAAACCTGTCAAGCTTAAGGATTATGAAGCTGTTTTGGGCTCAGTTTAGGGCTTATAGGCTTCAAGCCATCTGGGCTACTCCCTTAAGTATCAAACATCATTTATATATCCCAAACCTGAGCTGCTACTCCCCACACCCCAGCCAGCTGCGTTGTTCGATCCTAAAGAATCCGGAGCCGCAAGTAAGGTACAGCTTCAGTACCGCCATCAGCGCCTGCCAGCAACTTCGTAGCAGTCAATTGTACCCTAAGGGTCCAAGTACATAATAATCATATACTCTCTTAAATATTAAGCTACATAACTACTATCCTAAACCCAAGTACCTGATTATTGGGTCCTTTGGACCCTTAGGGGTAACGTTTGTGAGACACCAGTCCGAACACCGCCCAATCCCCGGCTCCAAGCTGTAACTTGACTAGTAAACTGTGACCTTCTTGGGGACCATCTAAGCCTAAGAACTAAACCTTTGTCATAGTTGGGTAACATTTTACATTTTGGGTACATAAACCCAACAAGGAATACAAATGTACATTTTTAATCCTGTCCCAACAACGAATTAGAAACTGTTTAAACCCTAAAGCAAATTGTAACATCCTTCAAAACCTCAAGACTAAAAGTCTACACATTGTTTGTCGTAGAAACCCGGCAGCTGAGGAAAGGTGGCGAGTGGCAAATCGCCTTTCTGCTGTTGAACCAGATGATGCTTGAACGCGGCTTGCTGCCCATACACTGGCGGCACCTAAAGAGGGTTTAGGGTGTATAGAGTGTAGGATTTAGGCGTTTAAGGGTTAAGCGGTTAGGGGTTTAGGCGTTAGGGGTTTAGCGGTGGAGCCTAAACCCTAAACCGCAAGGCATTTCGCCAATGCATGAACCGAAAACCCTAAAGCGCTTGGTATCTCGCCGAACCGCAAGCCCTAGACCCTTTCAAGGAAACCTATAGGTGTTTCAGATCCCCTGCAGGAACCCGGTAAGGAAACCTAGGTGGTTCACCGAACCTTAAACCCTAGACCCTAAACCCGAGATCCCTTGCAGGAACCCTTAAAGGAATCCCTTATGGATCCCCTAAAGTCCCTACTAAAGGCCCTTTTAATTAAGGAAACCCAGATGTTTCACCGAGCAAAAAACCCTAAACCCTAAACCCTTAAGGAACCCCGACAGCTCCCATAAAGGAGCCCTTTAAGAAAGCCCTCTAGCTTCCCTTAAAGGATCCCATATACATTATAGATCCCTTACAGGAGCCCTTAAGCGCCCTGAAGGAAACCCTAGTAGTAGAGTAGGTAAGCTGTAACCTTTTTTTTGGCTAGTATGTCCTTAAACAACGCCTATATAACCAAAATGGTTGACCTTTAGTTCCCTAACCACAAGCCCGAAGGGTCCAAGTATCATCATGGTATATACGTAGACCCCCAAAATGCCCTATAGGTATACTGTATACCAGAATGATACTTGGACCCTATGGCAAGTAGGAAACCTAGGTATATACCCTTTATATAGCTATTACATACACATTGTATAGCCCATTATAGGGTAGGGGTCCCCATTAAGGGTCCCTCCTTTTCCCCCTGAGGTTACTGTAACGACACCCCAAACCCCTTTAGTAGGAAACCTAGGCATCTGGCCGAACCAGTTCAGCTTCAGCTCCCTTAAAGGAGCCCTCTATGGAAGCCCTATAGTTTCGCTTAACGGATCCCTTACAGGAGACCTTAAGGAAACCTAGGTAAACCCCTAAACCCTAAAAACCCTAAAACCCCCAAAACCCCTAAACTTTCCTTTGGGAAGTAGGAAACCTAACCATACCCCCTATAGATCGCTTAAAGACCCTTTTAAGGAAACCCAGGTATCTCGCCGAACCAATTCAGCTTCAACGCGGCCGTCAGCGCCTGTGGAAGCCAGGGCTTCTGGGAGCTCGCCGCTTCGCTTGGGACTGTGTGCATTTTGTTTGGGGCTTAGGGTTTTTAGGGGTTAGAGGGCTAGGGGCTTAAGGGTATAGGGGTTAAGGGGTTTAGGGGTTAGGGTTCAGCATAACTGCGTGGATTTTGTTTGGGGCTTAGGGTTTTTAGGGGTTAGAGGGTTAGGGGCTCAAGGGTATAGGGGTTAAGGGGTTTAGGGGTTAGGGTTCAGCATAACTGCGTGGATTTTGTTTGGGGCTTAGGGTTTTTAGGGGTTAGAGGGTTAGGGGCTCAAGGGTATAGGGGTTAAGGGGTTTAGGGGTTAGGGTTCAGCATAACTGCGTGGATTTTGTTTGGGGCTTAGGGTTTTTAGGGGTTAGAGGGTTAGGGGCTCAAGGGTATAGGGGTTAAGGGGTTTAGGGGTTAGGGTTCAGCATAACTGCGTATTTTGTTTGGGGCTTAGGGTTTTTAGGGTTGGGGTTTAGGGGTTAGGGGTGTAGGGTTGGGGTTTAGGGGTTTAAGGGTCAGGGGTGTAGGGTTTGAGGCTTAGGGTTTAGGGGTTAGGGTTTACCTGTGGATCCAGAAACCTACCGTTTTTAGGGTTAGACCCTCCAATTAAGGGGTCAAAACCTACTATTTTGTAGGGTTTGGGGATACAGGTAGGGGTGAGGGGTACAGGGTTGGTTTAAGGGTCAGGGGTGTAGGGTTTAGGGGAAGAGGGGTAAGGGTTTCGGTTTAGGGTTTAGGGCTCCCCCCAACCGTACAATATTGTAGGTTATGACCCTTTAATCAGTGGGTAGCACCCTTAAAACAGTAGGTGTTGTGGTTTTCGAGGTAAGGTTTTGCGATTTTTTTCTTGCTTGTTTTTGTCGTGGTCTGGGGCAAAGCTTGCTTTTGCTGTCCACGGTCAAGCGGTGTCTTGAAGGCTGAGGAGGTTCTGCTAAGATTCACAATATCGTATACATGGGTGGCTGTCAAAATTAGGGTCCCTTTTTGGGTACCCTAAATATTAGGTGCCGTAGCAGATGATCCTTGCACCGAGAACGTAGGGCATATTTGTGGGCTGAAGCAGGTTCAGCACCTAAAGTGTTCTCATAGTCCGACATGCAGGCTTCACCGTCTTTGAGGCAACGGGCACCATCTCTAAACCCCTTAGGACTTAGAGGACCCCCGTGTTAAGTTTAGCCTGTGCATTTCTCAGTTTCGTTTCTTGTATCAAGGTGTAAGCTTTCTTCCCCTAAGGGTCCAAGTATATATTAACCATATACTCTCTTAAATATTAAGCTACATAACTACTATCCTAAACCCAAGTACCTGATTATTGGGTCCTTTGGACCCTTAGGGTTCTTTCATGCAGATGGGGAAAACTCAGGCCCTGTGCCTACTGTTGGACATGGCTGAGCTCGGAGTGCTGCCGGATGAGATCACCTTTAACGCCGTTATGAGCTCCTGTGAGAAGAGCGGTGAATGGCGCGTCTGCTCACAATTGCATTCAGAGATGCTGGAGGACAGGGCATTAGGAATACCCGATAACCTGCAAATTAAGCAACAAACCCCAAGCCAACGAAAGCTCTAAAACATTACAGCCCCAAGTGCCTAAACCGTAAACCGAACTTTGATTTTTGCCCGAGTGCCTAAAGCCGAAGCCCCAAACTCAAACCCTCAAACCTGGAGGCGCGGCTTCAGCCGGATGCCATCACTTTCAATGCAGAGATCAGCACCTGCGGGCGTGCAGCGCAGTGGCAGCTGCTAGATTTCCATGTACTACCCTGCTAAGGTTTAAGCTTCGCCTACACCGCCCTACTCACTACCCTCTATGATGCCCCCCAAATACCCACCATTGAGCACCACAAGGGGTCTCTTAAAGGGCACTTGGTTCCTTTTCTGTTATGATTTGGGTTTCCCTTGTCATAGAGCCCCCAAACCATAAGCCGTAAACTCTACACCGAGAGGCAGAAACTACTTGGGAGACCTTCAGGCCCTAATGACAAGGGCTCCCTTTCCCCTCTGGATTTATAAGGGGTCCTTTAACGATTCCTTTAAGGGTTCCCTTGCAGACAGGGGATTCTTGGGGTATTTGAGGCTCCATGTACCTATGTAGTACATACTTTGACCAAAAAGTGTCTGCACTAAAACAAGAAGCCCCTAAGGCCTGAATATATACTATATAGCCCTAAACCCTAAACCCTAAACCCTGCACAGGATGGCTTGTTCGTCCACCACTACCACGACCTCTTCTACCGAAACTGAGGATGACTTGGCTCGTGAACTACCTCTCAGTGCTCTGATTGCTCAACCAGAAGATTCGGAGCTACTGCTACAGCTATCCACTGGGGCCTCTGACACGTCTGTCTTGGATCCAAATGCAATCGTGGTCCAAGACTCCTTGCAGGCGGGAATGGGTGAACACAATGTCAAAATCCTCCTGCAGGAACTCGTGGGTTCGGCGCTCCGTGAAGTCAGAAGCAAGATGGGTCTGGCTTGGGGCCCTGGGTTGAGATGGGGTTTTTACCAACATCTCCGGGTCGTCCAGCTCGTCTCGGAGGCCTTACTCAGCTATAGGTCGAACTTGATCAGGCAGCTGGAGATTCCTGAAGGGGAACCACGTACAGCTCCTCCACGCTCCTCCGCTGAGCATAGAATGCTCGCCGACTGGGCTGACCTATTCCTGGGCGACATACATGCAATCGTGGCTTCAGTGGTCGGTGAGCAGAGGGAGCGAACAAACCAGGAAGTGCTGGACAAGTCTCGCCGTGAAGCTCAAGAACGAGGCAATCGGGCTCTACAAGAATTGGGGCGACGCTGGCAAGCAAGGCCTCCTCGTCCACCGCCTGGCCCAGAGCCTAACCAAGGTGCCAGAGTAGCGCCCAGGCCTTTCTTAAAAAGGGACCTCGCCACGATGGAGGATGTCACAATGGGGAGTGGGGCGTCGTCCTCCTGGCAGACTGGCCCGCGTCCTCGCATGGCTGCGTCTGGCCCTGGACGTCCGTCGAGGCCACAGAGTTTGCCGAGCTACCCAATGCCAAGCAGTTCCTCTTTGCGACCCTCTTCGACATCTCCAGCTTCCTCTATGCCACCGCCTCCGCGGCCAGTGGGAAGATTTCCCACCCTTGAAAGTTGGGCTGCAGAGCATCACGGGTGGTCCCCAAGTAATCCACCCACGCCTACAGGACATGAGCTGCCAGTCTCGGGTGCCGCTATGCCTCCTACGCCACTGGGTGAAGAGACCACCGAGACTCCGCCTCTGCTTATCCCTGCAGCCCCGGTCTTTGACCCCAATGCGCCGGTTACACCACTTGCCATGTTGGGGGGTGACCTGTCGAGCATGCCGACCACTCCTTTGGGGATCCCGACGGCACCCACCTTCGACCCTACGGCGCCTGTTACCCCTTTTGACAACAGCTCAGCGTATGTTTCTGCCAGCTATGTGGACGAGCTATTGGCCGAGGACGTTGACGATGGGACGACTTCTACGACAACATCCGCTTCCTCGACATCCACTTCTTCGACTACAAGCCTCTGGGATGGGATGAGTTGGCTACATTTGCGGGGAATCTCCCAGCTCTCTTCGACGACTTCCACAACGACAACCGGGACGTCCCCTCTTACTGCGCCGGAAAGTGACCATGATCCTCTTGGGGGAGAGAGTGAGCTGGATGACACAGGGGGTCAAGGTGTTCCTGGAACTACTGCCTTCGTGGAGCCCTCTGGAGCTATGCCATCGGTTGTGGAGCCGGTGCCCCATCCTGCTGCTGGCGTCGGTGCTTGGGATGATGTGCCTGGGGCGGAGTTGCGGGTCGCCCTTGCCGTTGCGCGACTCGTTGCACATGAACTTGAGTGGCGCCTGCGCCTGCTTGGAATGGCCGGCCCTAGTAGGAGCACCACGAGGTCGAGGAGCCCAAGGCGATCGAGCGAATCAGTGGATGGTCCAACGACTATGCCTGACTATGTTGACCTTGGGGGAGAATATGTTTGGGTGCTTGTACCTGATGAGCAACCTGGTTCTCACTGTGGAGACGCTCGCGATCTGTGTGTTGGTGACGACGTGGTTGGGTCTGAGGGTGATGCAGTGTCTCCTACCGTCCCTGGTGACTCCCTGGATGGTGCTCCCGGAGATGTTCCTGGTGATACTGAGCCTGGTCTCCTACAACACACAGACGCTCCTCAGTCTCATGCCAACTTGGTGGATGTGCACGCGGGGGACTTGGACACCTTCGACCCTTTCGCTTTACTCAGCCCGCCGCAGGAGGAAGACACAGAAGTCGATGTGGAGCTCGAGGATGGGTCCATGATGGTTGGGGAGGTTGATCAGGAGCTCTTGGAAGACTGGGATGAGGCTGCAGAACGTCGGGGTGGCAGGGAATATGCATCCTGGAAAGATCTGTGAATATCTTCTATGAGCTTTGGGATGGAACTTCTGTGGCGCTATTTCGTCGACTACCTATGATGTTACGGATGTGTACTACCTATGTCGAGTGTCGTGCGATTTTATGCTGCTGACAAGGGTGGCAATTATGTTTCACTGCGTGCCTCTGCGTGAGGGGATTCGATGGGAGGGTCGGGTCTAGCACGTGTAAAAAAAAAAAAAAAAACCTGCACATGGAGCCCTCGGGTTTGTGAGGGGCTCTCGGCGAGACGAGGCGGGCGCTGGAGATTTTTCGCCGGATGCCAGCTGACATTGTGGCCCCCAGCGTGGCTGGGTTGTCCTTTTGGCTCTTTTTTTCCCCCTACTATTTTGTAGAGAACCATAATAGTAAACAATTTTCAAGAACCATAATAGTAAATAATTTTCAAAGGGCTTAAAGGAGAACTCAGGTGGTAAGCTTCAATGCAGCGATCAGCGCATGTGACACTAGGCCTGTTTGACAGGATCTTCCTATTTCCTTCTTGTGGTTTCCTTATTGAAGTCCTTACAGGGGTCTTTTAAGGTTCCTTCTTGCGGTTTCCTTATTGAAGTCCTTACAGGGGTTCTTTTAAGGTTCCTTATCGTGGTTTTTGATGGAAGTCCTTAAGGGGTTCTTTTAAGGTTCCTAATTTATTGTGGTTTCCTTGTTCGAAGTGCTTAAAAAGGCAATTTCGGGTTGAGGTAGTTTTTACGGCCCTGGAATATTCAAAATCTCGACGTAAGTTCAAGCAGGGCCTCCCCCAGCCCAAAGGGTCCAAAGTAGTTTAGGGTTTAGGGTTTAGGGGTTTAGGGTTTAGGGTTTAGGGTTTAGGGTTTAGGGGTTTAGGGTTTAGGGTTTAGGGGTTTAGGGTTTAGGGGTTTCTTTTTGGGAATTACTATTATGATTTGGGGAAGTATTCCCCATAACAGTACCTAGGACCCTTTGGGCCAGAAATCTTCGGGTGCGTCTCTGCGTAGAATCAGCCGAGACTGTGAAGGTGCAAGGGCCGCAGAACAACAGAAACCCTACGCCGAAAATGACCCAAGCACACAAACCCGGAACCCTACTGTTGCTGATAGAAATCCTGCATTACCTTAAGGACCCTAAACTATGGGAATTATGGTATATTCCTTATAATGGGCAATGCAGGATTTATATCATCAACCGTATGGGCCTAAACCCACCAGGCCTTGCAACCCAAAGAGTCCTCAAACAAACTAAGCCCAAAGGGTCCAAGTACCATTATGGTAGATACTTAGACCCCCAAAAAACCCAAAAAGTATATACCACGATGATACTTGGACTCTTTGGGTAAGCCCAGGAGAGGGGTCTTTGCTGGAGGACTGCCCTTCTGCTGCTCTGGAACATGCAAGACCATGAGTTGCTGGGCTTTGAAGTACACTCTCAAAGGGTAAAAGGAGGGATCCTTACTATGGACCCCTACCCTATAATGGGCCCTATAAGTACCATACTTTAGTACTTTTTTGCTTAAAGGAACCCTTATGAAATAAAAAGTTGATACTTTTATCTTAAAGGAACCCTTATGAAATAACCGTTTATACTTTTTTCTCCCTGGTTACTAACAGCCAAGGTTGAGACCAAATGCCACGACCTTCAATGCGGCTACCTGTTTGGTACTTAGCTAGGCCCCTGAGCCCTTCGTTTGTGGGTTCCGAGTTTCCTTATAAGGGATCTTGCTTTAGCAACCTTCGGCGCCGCGACTTTGCCGTTTAGGGCTTGTAGGGCTTTGGCTCTAGGTTTTCGGGCATTTTAGTTGAAGAGTTACCCGAAGCCCAAAACGTTTCTAAGGCCAGGGTTAAGAATTGTGCGTCTTTTCTTTTATCTTTATATAATAAAACCCTAAACCCTAAACCCTAAACCCTAAACCCTAAACCCATATAGGGTGTGCAAGATTGAACCAGTCTGTTTCGCTCAGCTAGGACCTTGGGGCTCGACTGTGTTAAGTTCCTTAGGGCTCGTATTCTTGGGTCTAAAAACAAAAGAGATCACTAAACCCTAAACCAAAGGGGTTGAAGTGCCATGATGCCACTTAGTCCAAGCATTGCTTCGTATGGTGCTTCTCCAGCTCGAAAATCCCTGCAGAGTTTGTGTCGAATTCAAGGGTTTCGGGGTTTAGGGATTTACGGGTTAGGGTTAAGAGTTTATGTGACGTGCAGGGTGTTGTCTTGTTCTCAACATTCAAGTTTTCTGGGGGAAGTAAGGCCATCAGCTCCTGTGAGAAGAGCCTACGTTGGGAGTGGGCTCTGCAACTGCTTTGGAATATGCAACTTGGCCGCTCTTGAAAACTATCCCTTAGGCTCTAAGGACTCATATGTCAAGGCTTTCGGGCCCAAAGACCATACTGGTATTTGTTTCACCTAGTTCCAGTTTACTGCCTGCAGAAGTTGCCAGTTTAAGAACACAAACAAAGGCCTCCAATGACAGCCCAGGCATGAGGCTGGAGTTGATCAAGATGAGATCAGCTTCAACGCCGCCATCAGCGCCTGTGAAAAAAGCCAGCAGTGGCAGATGGCTGTTCTTCTCCTGGCAGCAATGCCTTTGGCTGATGTTGAGCCTGGGACAATCAGCTACTCAGCTTTCTGCTATGCTGCTTCTCTTCATAAACCCGTCAAATGCGAATAAAGCTTTGTAGACTTATACAACCCTTGAAGACACCTTCGAAAGAAACTCTCACAGGGTACTGTAGAGCCCTAAAAGGAACCTTCGAAAGAAACTCTCACAGAGTACAAGTAGCTGTTGGGACAGGGCCGGTCAACGATCAGAACCGAAAAAGCCTGGCCAAGACAGCAAATCCAGCCAGGCAACCGGATTCGACAGCCTTAGTCACAAAGGGTTCCTACGGGCTCATATGGGGAATACTTGCCCGAACCATCGTAGCTTGCTTTAGATTCTAGAGGTACTTAGGACCCTATGAAAATTCGCTTGTCAATCGCATATGGCGTTTGGCAAGGCATGAAACCTTACGGGATTCTGAAGCTTGCGTTCGTTTGGATTTAGGGTTCAAGGCCTTTAGATGTTTCTAGGGTTTACTGTTCAGTTGTTCTGGGTTCAGAGGGCAGGGCCAGTGTAGGGTTTAGGTTTCGGGCTGTGGGTACAGGGGAGGGGATCCTTCAGAAGCAAACCTCCCCAGACTTCCCGCGGAGGGCACGAAGGCAAATGAAACACTCTCCCAAAGGGTCCAAGTATCATTCTGGTATATACTTATAGGGCATTTTGGGGGTCTAAGTATATACCATGATGATACTTGGACCCTTGGGGTCTTTTTGTCCTTAAAAGAAACCCTTAATCCTAAACCCTAAACCCTAAACCCTAAACCTTAAACCCTAAACCCTAAACCCTAAACCGTAAACCCTAAACCTTAAACCCTAAACCCTAAACCCTAAACCCTACTTAAATCCCAAAACCCTCAAAGCCCTGCAATGAACCGAGGCTTCAGCTCAGCGATCAGCGCCTGTGAGAAGCTTTCTCTCTGGACATCCGCCCTGGCCCTGTTTCTTTGTCATGGTTGGGCATCATGTTACATTTTTTGGGGGTACTTAAACCCAATAAGGAATAACAATTAGATTCTTACCCTAAGGGTCCAAGTATATAATAATCATATACTCTCCTAAATATTAAGCTACATAACTACTATCCTAAACCCCAGTACCTGATTATTGGGTCCTTTGGACCCTTAGGGTTAATCCGATCCCAACCATGAACTAGGTTTGAGGACCTCAGCGCCAGGGCATCTCCGGATGTCGGGGCCCTGGTCCGGTGATTTGAAACCCCAGAGTCGGCCAGGGCTTAGGGTTCGGGGTTGAGGGCTTAGGGTGCGGGGTTTAGGGTTGAGGGCTCAGGGGTCGGGGTTGACGGCTTAGGGTTTAGGGTCGAGGGCTTAGGGTTCGGGGTTGAGGGCTTAGGGTGCGGGGTTTAGGGTTGAGGGCTCAGGGGTCGGGGTTGACGGCTTAGGGTTTAGGGTCGAGGGCTTAGGGTTCGGGGTTGAGGGCTTAGGGTGCAGGGTTTAGGGTTGATTTATGAGCTCCGTAAAGCAGGGTGCGCAGCTTCGAATATTATAGGGACCCCTTCCTTGGAACCCCAAACCCTAAACCCTAAACCCCTATTATAGGGATCCCTTCCTTGGAACCCCAAACCCAACAAAGGCTCAAAATAGACACAACCGCTGGAACCGTGAAGCCGAAACAAAAAACACCTCAAACCTGTAATCCCAATGAAGACCCTAAGACAATCCTTCTGACAAGGCGCCCGTAGTTCTATGATAACCGTCTAGCTCTAAGTGCAATACTAAGAACACCACCAAAACTTTCACACCCCTATGAAACTTCATAGAACACCTATCATGGTATAGTCAGAACAGGACTTTTTGGAAGGGGGGTTGTCACTTAGTCACAAAATCACAAGGCGGAACCCTGAAGAATAATATTGCCAATGTGTCAGGCTTCTATTTTACTTTGGAGTCTCCGGGGTACGGGACGATCCTAAAACAACCCTACCTAAACCTGCAAACCTACAGTTCTAAGGACGTATATCAGTAAGCCAGAATAAGGAAATCAAAAGCATGGTGGTTTGGCTTAGGTAAACCAGAAAAAAGCCAGGACAAAACCTAAACTGCCATAACCACAGAGAACCTACATTTTACGAACTCATATAGACAAACCTTGAAAATAATGCTACAACGGCAGCTTTTTGGGGGTCAAGGCAAATCCTTAGTGGTTCCCGGACGGTCCATGTTTACACTACAAGTACCATTGTGGAAATAGGTCCCCAAAACCATAATAAGGATGGTCTTGTGGGACCGATTTCCATAACAAAGTGTATATGGGTGGTTGTCAAGATTAGGGTCCCTTTTGGGGTCCTTATTTTAATACGGCACCAAATATTCAAGGTACCCAAACAGGGACCCTAACCCCTAAACCCCAAACCCTAAACCCGGACCATAATTTGAACCACCACCCATATGGACCCGAAACCCTGCACCCTAAGCCCTCAACCCCGAACCCTAAGCCCTCCTCAACCCTGACCCGTAAGCCCTCAACCATAAACCCTGCACCCTAAGCCCTCAACCCCGAACCCTAAGCCCTCGAACCTAAACCCTGCACCGTAAGCCTTCAACCCCGAACCCTAAACCCTCGACCCTAAACCCTGAACCCCAAGCCCTCAACCCCCGAACCCTAAGCCCTCAACCCTAAACCCTGAACCCTAAGCCCTCAACCCTCAACCCTAAACCCTAAACCCTGCACCCTAAGCCCCTCGACCCTAAACCCTGCACCCTAAGCCCTCAACCCCGAACCCTAAGCCCTCGACCCTAAACCCTGAACCCTAAGCCCTCAACCCCGAACCCTAAGCCCTCAACCCTAAACCCGAAGCCCTCAACCCTGACCCCTACGCCCTCAACCCTAAACCCTGCAGCCTAAGCCGAACCCTAAGCCCTCGACCCTGAACCCTGAATTCTAAGCCCTCAACCCCGAACCCCACCCTAAACCCTGAACCCTAAGCCCTCAACCCCGAACCCTCAACCCTGAACCCTAAGCCCTCAACCCTAAACCCTCAACCCTAAACCCTGAGCCTTAAACCCTCGACCCTCAACCCCTAAACCCTAAACCTCTAAACCCTGAGCCCTCAATCTCGAACCCTAAGCCCTCGACCCTAAACCCTCAAGCGAGCCCTGAGGTTTTTTCAAAAAACGTAGGTTTTTTTCAAAAACCTATGCGACCCCTGAGGTGATCTGCTTCAACGCCTTGCTGAGCGCCTTGGAGAAGAGCCAGAGATGGGATCTGGCTCTTCAGACGCTTCTGGGATTACAAAACTAGGATGCCCAGTACCCTTATTCCCTTTTTGTAGTCCTAGGTTCCTTATAAAATTACCCAATACCAAAAAGAGAGGCCTTTTTATTCTTAGGTTACTGGGTATCCTAGAAAAGGTTTGAAAGGGATCCTTTGCGGGTTCCTTAAAAGGGATCTATAAGGTTTCTATGAAGGGTTTAGGGTTTTGAGATTCCGAAAATTAGGGGTACCCCTGATTTTAGGGTCCTTCTAATACGGATCCTACTATTTAGCTTACTGCTCTTCAGGCGCTCCTGGGATTGCACAGGTTTGAAAGGGACTTTTGGGAGTTTCGGGGGTCCTTATAACAAGGATCGTACAATTTAGGGTATTATCTCCTGGGATTACACAGGTTTGAAAGGGATCTATGGGAGTTTCCGAAAATTAGGGGGTACCTCATAGCCGCGTGGGTAGTTGGCAGGTGGGTAGTTGGGGTGCTGCTTATGCGTGTAATTATACAAGGCTTGCAAAAGCCACTTATAAGCTTTCCACAAAAGGGGTTTATATGAACCTCGCATAAGAATGAAGGTTGAAGCTAATGCCGGGCTATGTGAGGCCGTTGGTTTCCGTTCTTGCGACAGGAATGCACTTCTCTTGGACGGGCCCACCCCACCCACCGACTCCCCCCTCCCCGCACCACCCCCCGCCCACCCCCACACTGCCCGTCACTGCCCATCCCCACAAACAAGCCAAAACACATGAAAGGGACGGCGCGCCCCTGGCTGTACACATAAACCCCTCTCCCCCAGCTCTCCGAACCCTGACCCCACATAGTGCTCACATAAGGGCTCACATAAGGGCTCACATAAGCCTCACATAAGCCGTGGAGCTCATGCTGGGCTCCCACACGGTGCTCACATAAGTTCCCTCATAAGCCAGCCCTGCAGAAGCCGCAGAGATGCTGACAGGATGCTCACACAAGGCTGGGGATTGGGGATCTCCTAAGCGCCTCCCTCCCCCTTTCAATGTCAAGCATATCTTGGCATCCGCTGTACTTGCCTTTATTGCGAGGCGCGAACCTCAACTGACACATCCTGATATCACATAAGCTTCACCAAGCACACGCTGAAATCACATAAGTCCCAACAGAACTACCCACCCCCAAACTCCCCACCTGGCGCTGCCCTACAATAGTAAGGATCCTACAGTTTAAGTACTATATTAGGGCCCCTTAGACTCCCCTATAGTAAGGATTCCGTTAAAGGGACCTACCAGGAGGGTTTAGGGTTTAGGGTTTGGGGGTTTCTGGGACTGCACAGGTTTGAAAGGGATCTATGGGAGTTTAGGGGTACCTTATTTAGGGGTCCTTATAATAAGGATCCTACTACTTAGGGCACTATATTAGGGTCCCTTCTTTTCGGAAACTCCCCTATAGTAAGGATTCCTTTGAAGGGATCTACCAGGAGGGTGTAGGGAAAGGGATCTGTAAGGATTCCTCCAAAGGGGCTAGGGTTTAGGGGCATCTGGGTTCCTGGGATTGCAAATGTTTGAAAGGCATCTGTAGTAAGGATTCCTTTAAAGGGATCTCCCACGAGGGTGTGTAGGGAAAGGGATCTGTAAGGATTCCTCTAAAGGAGTTAAGGTTTAGGGGCATCGGGGGTTCCTGGGATTGCAAAGGTTTGAGATCTGTAGTAAGGGTTCCTCTAAAGAGATCTGCCATGAGGGTGTAGGAAAGGGATCTATAAGGATTCCTTTAGAGGGATCTATGAGGGTGGGTTTAGGGGTTTAGGGTTTAGGGGCATCGGGGCTTTCTGGAGTTGGTGTAGGTTTAGGTTCGCTAGGTTCCATGATTCCTGGTCGTTAGGTTCCATCATTCAATGGTTCCTGGACTTGCAAAGAGTAAGGGCCAGCTTGGTGGTTAGGGTCTATGTGTATATGCGTGGGGTGCAGGGCACATGCTGTTCAATAGGGCTTCCAGGATTGTATGGAAAACCAACCCGAACCGTAAACGCCAGACCCTAAAACCTCAACCCAAACCCTAAGGGTCCAAAGGACTCAACAATTAGGTACTCAGGTTAAGGATAGTAGTTATGTAGGCTACTGTTTTGGAGAGTATATGATAGTTAATAGGTGTCAAAGAATGTTTGCATCGTGTATGAACCACCCAAGCCCAGCCTCCATGTACCCTTATACACTTACACGCCTGAAAAGGCTTCGTATATGGGTACTTTAAGAACTTACACACCCAAAGTGTCCTATGTGCTGTTATGGGGGATACTTCCCCAAATCATATGAATCCCTACGATAGAAACCCTACATTCTACTGTATAGGTGCTTTGGACCCTTTGGGACAGACTGTAGAGGTACATGGAGGTCTAGAGAGCCGCCTTAGGCTCAAACGCATGTCGGCAGCCGCGTCGCATCCCAACCTTGTCTCCTTCAACGCCACCCTCAGCTCGCTGGCGCACCGCTGGGTGCAGGCGGCATAGGTTCCGGGGGTGAAGCACTCTGTTCGATGACATGCCGGTTGGCGTCGGCGCAAGATCGTGTCACAGAGCGTGAGTAAGTGTATAATTAACAGTGTATGATACATACAGATATTTATACACAGGTGCCTATCTATCTGAGTATTTTTGTATGTCTGCATGTAGGTATAGATAGGTAGGTAGGTAGGTAGGTAGGTAGGTACGTAGGTAGGCATGCATGCACGCATGTGTGTGTGTATATATATATATATATATATATACGTATATGTATATGCATATGTCGATGAAGATGTAGATGTAAGTGTATTCCTATGTTTAGTTATATATGTATGTGTCTGTCTATGTAGACTTTTTGTGTATATGTGTATGTATGTATGTATGTATGTATGGATGTCTGTATGTATGTACGTATGTATGCACGTAGGTAGGTAGGTGGGGAGGTAGGAACGTATGTATGCCATATATCTCTATCTCCCTTGTCATACAGGAGGAGCCTGAAAGTTGGATTGGAAACCCAATAGCCTCGATCCCTAAGAGTCATGCATCGGGAATCCCAGCACTATTTGGCCTTTATCCGGTTTCCAACTCTATCGGGGTTTACTGTAAGCCCTAAACCCTAAAACCCCTAAACCCTAAAACCCCTAAACCCTAAAACCCCTAAACCCTAAAACCCCTAAACCCTAAAAACCCGAAACCCTAAAAACCCCTAAACCCTAAAACCCCTAAACCCTAAAACCCCTAAACCCTAAAACCCCTAAGCCCTAAAACCCCTAAACCCTAAAACCCCTAAACCCTAAAACCCCGAAACCCTAAAAACCCGAAACCCTAAAAACCCCTAAACCCTAAAACCCCTAAACCCTAAAAACCCCTAAACCCTAAAACCCCTAAACCCTAAAACCCCTAAACCCTAAAACCCCTAAACCCTAAAACCCCGAAACCCTAAAACCCCTAAACCCTAAAAACCCCTAAACCCTAAAACCCCTATAAACCCTAAAACCCCTAAACCTTAAAACCCCTAAACCCTAAAACCCCGAAACCCTAAAACCCCTAAACCCTAAAACCCCTAAACCCTAAAACCCCTAAACCCTAAAACCCCGAAACCCTAAAAACCCGAAACCCTAAAAACCCCTAAACCCTAAAACCCCTAAACCCTAAAACCCCTAAACCCTAAAACCCCTAAAACCCTAAACCCTAAAACCCCTAAACCCTAAAACCCCGAAACCCTAAAAACCCGAAACCCTAAAAACCCCTAAACCCTAAAACCCCTAAACCCTAAAAACCCCTAAACCCTAAAACCCCTAAACCCTAAAACCCCTAAACCCTAAAACCCCTAAACCCTAAAACCCCGAAACCCTAAAAACCCGAAACCCTAGAACCCCTAAACCCCTAAACCCTAAAACCCCTATAAACCCTAAAACCCCTAAACCTTAAAACCCCTAAACCCTAAAACCCCTATAAACCCTAAAACCCAGAAACCCTTAAAACCCCTAAACCCTAAAACCCCGAAACCCTAAAACCCCTAAACCCTAAAACCCCTAAACCCTAAAACCCCGAAACCCTAAAAACCCGAAACCCTAAAAACCCCTAAACCCAAAAACCCCTAAACCCTAAAAACCCCTAAACCCTAAAACCCCTAAACCTTAAAACCCCTAAACCCTAAAACCCCTATAAACCCTAAAACCCAGAAACCCTAAACCCTAAAACCCCGAAACCCTAAAACCCCTAAACCCTAAAACCCCTAAACCCTAAAACCCCCCTAAAACCCGAAACCCTAAAACCCCTAAACCCTAAAACCCGAAACCCTAAAAAAAACCCTAAAAAACCCTAAAACCCCTAAACCCTAAAACCCCTAAACCCTAAAACCCCGAAACCCTAAAAACCCGAAACCCTAAAAAAACCCCTAAACCTAAACCCTAAAACCCCTAAACCCTAAAACCCCTATAAACCCTAAAACCCAGAAACCCTTAAAACCCCTAAACCCTAAAACCCCGAAACCCTTAAAACCCTATAAACCCTAAAACCCCTAAACCCTAAAACCCCGAAACCCTAAAAACCCGAAACCCTAAAAACCCCTAAACCCAAAAACCCCTAAACCCTAAAAACCCCTAAACCCTAAAACCCCTAAACCTTAAAACCCCTAAACCCTAAAACCCCTATAAACCCTAAAACCCAGAAACCCTTAAAACCCCTAAACCCTAAAACCCCGAAACCCTAAAACCCCTAAACCCTAAAACCCCTAAACCCTAAAACCCCGAAACCCTAAAAACCCGAAACCCTAAAAACCCCTAAACCCTAAAACCCCTAAACCCTAAAAACCCCTAAACCCTAAAAACCCCTAAACCCTAAAACCCCTAAACCCTAAAACCCCTAAACCCTAAAACCCCGAAACCCTAAAAACCCGAAACCCTAAAACCCCTAAACCCCTAAACCCTAAAACCCCTATAAACCCTAAAACCCCTAAACCTTAAAACCCCTAAACCCTAAAACCCCTATAAACCCTAAAACCCCGAAACCCTTAAAACCCCTAAACCCTAAAACCCTTAAAACCCTATAAACCCTAAAACCCCGAAACCCTAAAAACCCTATAAACCCTAAAACCCCTAAACCCCTAAACCCCTAAACCCCTAAACCCCTAAACCTTATAACCCCTAAGCCTTTCTGTTCATCCGCCTCTGGCTCTGAGAGGCCATTGCGCTCTTTTCGCATCTGCCGACGGGTTCGCTGGTGCCCGATTCTATCAGCGGCTTTTCTGCGCAGTACCCCGAGACTCCCAAGCTCATTTCTTCCTGTGGCAGTTTTTAAGGCCTTTAACCTAATCAGGGTGTTAAATAGCGTTTATGGGATTCAGGAATCGACCCTAAACCACGAAAGCCCAAACCCGAAAGTGCGAAACACACCGGAAACTGGGCAAGTGAGGCTTCAACGCAACAGCCGGAGCCTGCGAGAGGGGCGGACAATGGCAGGCGCAAACGAAGGGAGAAACGAACGGGTTTGTGGTTGCCCAGGATGCCGTTGCTTAAACCTGCAATGTCCCGAAACAGTATTGCCCTGCCCGTAAAGGAACGCCTTGCCCTTTGTCATACTTTAAGGCTTTTGGGCCCAAAGACCATACCATATAAGGCTCTTGGGCTATTTTGAGCCTTAGGGTTAGTGAACCCTGAAACTGCGGGGAGGTTGCTGTCGCTTTGCTGTCGCACATGGTGCGCACGAGAAACCCTTGCATGGCGACTCGACAGATCGCTGCTTCCCCAAAGGGTCCTATGTACTGCTATGGGGGATACTTCCCTAAGTCATAATAGCAGTGCCTAATATGGAAACCCTACATTCTACTATATCGGTAGATAGGACCCTTTGGGTTCATTGAGGGTTCAGGATGTAAAGATCCAGGGTTCCGGCTTAGGGTTTTATTAGCAGGGGCTTGTATGGTCTTTCGTAGTAGGCTGTTATACCGGCTTTTTGCCATACTTCAGAAGGGAAAGTTGTCAGGGCTTGCCAGCATTTGGGGGTGTAAAGGGAACTCCAGAAAGTTGGAATATGGCTTAATGGTAGGATCCCCTATAATTTACCTTAAAGGGGTTACGATAATGATATTCCAACTTTCTGGCTTCTACTGTAAGGACCTGAAAGGCCTGTTTGCAAACCACAACACTTTGCAAGCACCATGCAAGACGTATGGGAGTTGCAGAAAGGAGCGAACCATAATGATAAAAACCTATTCTGCAACATCATGAATATACGGAAGCCGAATTTTAAGCAGCACAAACCCTAGGGCTCTAAGAACTCATGTATGAAGGTTTTTCGTGCAGAGACCATACTATATAAGGCGTTTGAGCTGTTCTGATGCCCCGGGACAAATCTCGTATCACCCTCATAAAGCCTCAAGACTGAGTGAGGCATGAGTCCTCGACTCCCAGCTTACCCCAAAGTGGCCCATTTCTACCTCCCAAGCCAAGTCCCTAAGCTGTAATGTAGGGGCCTTTAGAAGTAGAATAGGGTTTTGGGAGTTCCTCATTATAATTGCGGCATAATATACCCGAACACCCTATTCTAATTATTCAGGCCTCTACATTAAACATGATCCAACGACCTGTCTTTCGGGTGGAGGCTTTGGGATTTGGGACTAGAATTCCGGATCTTGCTGTGAGGGCCCGAGAGCCGTAAGGTACTGCGTCAAGAGCGATAACCCTTAGCCGAGGCGTCATACAGTGCTGCTGCGCAGGGCTGGGGGCTACAGTAACAATAGGGTTTCCCAAATAAATGCCAACATGATTCGTGAGGCTTTCTCGTGAACACTATAGTACAACATGCCCCCGAGCTCTATTCTAGTTGTTCGGGTACTCCGTTCAACCCAATGATTGCTTGCACCCCCGCCTGAGGTGATCAGCCAGAATTCTGCTATCAGCACCTGTGAGAGGCGTGGGCCGTAAACCCTGAACCCCATAAACCTCTACTAAACCCCTATAAACCCTAAAGCCTAAATCCCTAAGCCCTTAAACCCCACCCGATAAACCCTATAAACCTTATAAACCCTATAATCCGTAGAAACCCTATAATAAACCCTAAGCCCTATAAAACCCTGTCAACCCTACATTCCCTAAGGGTCCAAGTACCTAATTATCATATATTCCAAACTACTAACTGACATAACTACTTTGGACCCTTATATTACCCTACCATAAAATCCTTTAAACCCCATATAGAACCCTTCAAAGCAACCTCAATATACCTTTAAAGAGACCCTAATTATTGGGTCCTTTGGACCCTTAGGGATTGTGAGAGGCGTGGGCAGCAGTTCCACCGCTGGCTGCCGCCCACGGCTTCGACGCGGATCTCAGGGCCAAGGACCTGAAAAAGTTGGGCGCGCGATGCGAGAGGGTTTAGGGTTTATGAAGGCTTCCTTTAAGGGTTCCTATAAGGGTCCTTTAAGGGTTCCAAAAAAGGGTACCATGAGGGTTTACAGGGTTTAGGAAATTTAGGAGTGTGACAAAGTTGCGCGCGAGATAGCACGGTCTAGGGTTTGCAGGATTTAGGGTGTAGGGTTTAGGGCCTTAGGGGCTTAGGGTTTAGGTGCGAGGGTTTATAAGGATTAGCAAGTTTAGGGGTGCATGGGTTTAATTAGGGTGTAGGGGTTTAGGGGTTTAGGGGGTTTAGGGCTTAAGGTCAAGGGTTTATAGGTTTAGGGTGCAGGGTTTAGGGTGCAGGGTTTAGGGGTTTAAGGTTTCGGGTTCAGGGGTTAAGGTTTTAGGGGCTTGGGGTTTCACAGAAATTCTGCATAACCACAATAACTGATCCAAAAATGTAGGAATTGTGGTATATCCTTCGTTAATGCATGAGTTATATCATCAACCGCAAGGGCCTTGAAAATTTGAATAGGGGTTTTGGAAGCTTTAGAGGGTTCCTTTAAAGGGTTCCTTGGAAAGCGCTTGTTAGTGACCTTTGAAAGGTTTTTGTTCCGGGGCTTCATAACTAGAGTGGGGTTTTGGGATATGTTGTGTGTTCTATTAAGTCCCATAAGGTGCCATAGGGACCAAGACAGTAGCTCCAGGTTAACCGTTTAGTTTGAGTTCTCCATATCCAACATGCGTAATAACAGGAAGAAGGGTACCCTCTCATATGGGGACTTCTGGGAGCATAGGCTTTATGCCCCAAAGGGTCCAAGTATCATCATGGTATATACTTAGACCCCCAAGAATGCCCTATAAGTATGTACCAGAATGATACTTGGACCCTTTGGGAGATGTGGGGGAAACACTAGGCTTTCTGGTTCCAGGCTTGCTGAGGCACTGTGTTGTCTCACAGTGCCCTCAAGAGGAGCACGCCTCGAAGAAAGGGTGCTTCCCAGGTTTCACGCCGATTGCCTTTGACCCGGTCGCAGAGCCAACCCCAAGGGTCCAAGCACCCAATAATCATACACGCTCCAAAATCCTAACCTACGTAACTTTACATAACTGCTACCCTAAAGCCGAGTACCTGATTATTGGGTCCTTTGGACCCTTGGGGCAATACCTTAAGGCTCCTGGACCCTTGTAGTGAGATCCCGGACCCTAGCCCAAAGCCGAAACCCTCCCCCAGAGAGCCCAAGACCCTCTTTGGAGCCTTAGGGTACAACCTATATGTCCATATGCCCGATAAGAAGAATAAGAAGAAGAACGCTTGCTGGGGCCCACCTGACGCAAGTCCCAAAACGCCCAGCTACTCTCCGGTAGTTCGCTAGCTTTGATTATCTTGTCTACTATAGTTGAGTCGCTTACCAATAGGGCTCCTCTTGATACGCATGAAAGATCGCAGTATTCACTGGTCATAGTCGGACCCTTTCTTTTCGGAAACTTCCATATAGCCATGGCTAGAGACTGAACCAGCAAGCGTATAGCAATCCTCAAGCAATCTAACTCCCAGTGATGTTGTTTGCGTGCTTGTGCTCGTCTTCAGCCCAGGTCACGAAGTCTACGTGACCTTGCGGTTTAGGGGTGTAGGGTCTTGGGCTGGCAGACCATTCCCCCGCTACCTTCAGCACCGTCAACTATGGGAGTTGTGGTCATTGCTTAGACTAGAGTAACCAGTATACCTTTTCAACAGGAAACAAAGCTGTCAGAATGGCTATGCATCCTTCGTTCAAGCACGTTGTGACTTCTGAGTAAACCGGCAGCCTCATCCAAATTATACTTGGTCATACATCCCCTAATCTCTCCAGCTTAAATACACATTAGGGCCTCAATCGAACTCTATACAGCTTAAGTCTTCTATCTCGATATTCCTACAGCATGGGTGCTCAAGACTACCTTTAGGGTCATACTCTACCCCTGTTAGGGGGTAGCTACTTTTCTGTTTCACAGACCCTAGCCATAAAACTGCTGATGGCGGCACAGCTGATGACAGTTCCCTCTGCGCCTGCGACGCGGCAGTGCCGCAGCAGGGCGTGGGCCTTTGACCAGGAGTTGCACCCGAGTGCGCCATCAGCAGACTGTGGGGTGTTGCTTTGTTGTCCTTTGCTTTGCAAGGGTTCAGGAATGAGGTGTTTGTTGATCTTTGCTCCACGCTAGTTTGTTAGTTATTTTTTGGGTTTCTCTCCAGCAGCAAGCTGCAGAATAGGCCTTTATGTTACAGGTTCCATGAAGCATACAGTGCAACAGTCCAAGAGGGTCCATATATACAACCATTGTAGAATCACGTCCCGAAACTCCATCCTCATCATGGTTTTAGGGGACCTAATCCCATCATATAGTGTATATATGAGACCTCTTATTGTAAAATTAGGTCCTATTATGGGTTTAGGTAACCTAATTTCATCATAGTTGCATAAATGAAGCCTCTTGGAGTGTTTAGTACTGGGTTGTCCTTTGGGATATTTTTAAATTCCCCTACTATCTTATAGAGAACCATAATAGTAAATAATTTTCAAAGGGCTTAAAGCACAACTCAGACTCAGGCATGGCTGCGGTTCTCGGCAGCCGGGCTACATGCCGGGAGTTTTTGGGGTGATAAGTTTATAAGGTATTTCGCAAAAGAAGGCCCCCAATATAGAACCCTACTATAGAATCCCAATAGACCCCTTTAAAGGACCCCTTCAAGGAACCTTATTCTAATTAGAAAGGCCCCTACTTTACAGTAGAAGCCCAACAGTTGGAAACCTCATAGCCTCGATGCTTAAGAGTAATGTATAGGGAATCCCAGCTCTAGTTGGCCTTACTCCGGTTTCCAACTTTGTGGGGTTTACTGTAAAAGGTATTTCGCAAAAGGGTTTAGGGTCCAGCATGCAAGTTGGTGCCTTAAGGGTTCCTCAGGGTTTCCTACCGGGTTTGTGGTATTGGATTCCAATATGGGTGGTGTCTAAACAGGGGCAGAGGTTTTACAGTTGTCCTGCGAGGGTTCCACAGGCTATCAAAGCTTCTACAAGGTTGAGGGTTTTGATCGGGGGGGCCTGAGGGGTCAATGCCTGACGGTGGAAAATGATTGAGTTTTGCTTGTGCGTTTCTTTTTTTTTTGGGGGGGGGTCTGTTTGTGGTCACTATTACTGGGCCGGGGCCACACCAAAGCTTGACACATGACACAAGGCAACAAGCAAGGCATTGACTTAAATCGAACATCGAACAATCTAAATTCCTAAATCCAAACCCCATGTTAAGGAAACAAAGCCCAGAGGGTCCATATACACTACCATCAGGGAATAATGAATTGGGTCCCAAATGCCCTCCTTAGTATGGTTTTGGTGGCTGAATTCCACAATTGTAGCATATATGGACTCTTTTCTAGGACCTAGCGCAGGCCCTTATTCCCTTTTTTAGGGTTCAGGTTCCCCTATAAGCCCCTTTAAACCCGAAAGGTCACCTGTTTTGGTCCTAGGTTACTCTTGGGTCTAGTCTTGGAAAGCTGGAAAAACATGTCGGAGAAGCAACACCCTGAACCCTATGTTAATTTAAGAAGCAAAGAGCCTAAAACCTTAAACCCCATGTTGAAGAAGCCAAGGTGGAAGGTGGCGTTGCAGCTTCTGGAAGATCTGCCCAAGACAAGTCTTGAGCTGAATGCCCAGCGTTGCACTGCCGCAATCAGGCAGGTGCCCTAAGGGTCCGAGTACTTAATTCTCATATACTCTCCAAAATAGCAACTTACCACTATGGGCTATTAGACCCTAAAGATCCCTATTCGGACCCTATTAAGGGTAGATTAAGGTACCCATAAGGTCTAATAGCCCATAGTGGTACACAACTACTATCTTATCCTAAACCCAATTACCTCATTGTTGGGTCCTTTTCGACCCTTAGGGTGCTTTTTGAACGGCGCCGACGTTCTTTAAGGCTCGTTTCGGAACGTCCATTTGAGGGGTTCCGTTCAGTGATGGATCAGGGTCTTGGGTTTGGGGCCTAGGGTTTTGGGTTTAGGATGTCCGTTCAGGGTTTTGGGTTCAGGTTTTCGGCTTGGAGTTTAGGCTTCAGGGGTTTGGGCTTCGGTGTTGGAAAGGGTTCTATAAAGACTTGACCGGGGCTTGGGTTCCTCGAAGGGTTCTATACAAGATCTTTATCTTTAGGGTTTGACAGCGGTTTACTGGTTTATTGTTGGGTTCACATCTTAGGACTACTAAGGATGGCCCCCGGTTGAACCGCGGATTTCGGGATTCGAACAGGCCTGTGCCTTATGCTCAAGCTCCTCAAACCTCAGAAATAAATCCCCCCACTACTGCTCTCTCACCCTTGTTCTGCAGGAGGGGCACTAAGCAAAGCACGGTGTCATATTGTTCAGGTTTTGAGGAACCTTGTCAAACCCTGCACCCCTTACTGTAGTGCCGAAACCCTGGACACTAAACCTCGTGGTCAAGACCCGGACAACCTTAAACCCTTCATGTATTTCAATGTTTTCTCGTCAAGTTTCCAGCTCCTGCGAAGGTTTGGGTCTTAGTAGCTGAGTGGATACACTTTATAAAACTAATCTAAAAGAAAACACCTTTTTGGGCTTATGTAATCAGCAACTAAGAGGTTAATATGTTTGTAGGCAAGTTTGACCCGTTAGTCCTTAATCGTTTTGGGGTCCTACCGAAACTTGCGGTCTGCGTACCTTAATGCAAACTCCCAAACACTGATAGATCCCTGATAGAGCCCTTATAGGTTCCTAAAAAAGCGCCCTACGCCCTTAATTCAGGTATATGGGGCCCAGAGAGGCAAGACCCTGATAGATCCCTGATAGAGCCCTTGTAGGTTCCTAAAGAAGCGCCCTAAGCCCTGAATTCAGGTATATGGGGCCCTGAGCGGCAAAACCCTGATAGATCCCTTATCCCCAGGCATTTGAGGACTCATACATTGAGGCTTTTTGGCCGAAAGACCATAGTAAATGAGGCTTTTGGGTTATTTTGATGCCCAG